GCTGATCGCAAACTTGAATGGCAAATGTATTAATGAGCAAAATGACCCGAAAATGCATCGATTAGGCCACGCTGTTCCTGGGTGTACTCACGGTTATTGTTTTTCTTCTGGTCCCCTCCAGCTGTCTTCTTTACTGTGAAGGATGATGAACCAGCGGCGTGGGATTCATCTGGACCAATCAGAGCTGCTTTGCAAGAAGGGATGTGGTTTTTATGGCAACACTGCTTGGCAGGGCCTGTGCTCGAAGTGCTGGCGAGAGGAAAACCAGCAAGAAAAGCAAAAACAGATTAAAGAAGACTGGGCACTTGCTGAGAGGTTTGTCTGTCTCCTGAAATGCAAATACTGTCACCTCGTCATTTATTGGCTTTCTTTCTTTCTTTCGTCCGTCTGTCCTTGTGACATCCATTGCAGTCTTTAACAGTTGTACTGTGCTTTCCCTCCCAGGCTACAGAGAGAGGAAGAGGAAGCATACGCAAGCAGACATCAGAAGGCCCAATCACAATCTACCATCACACCCTTCAGCAAATTTGAGGAAAGAAAAACTAAGGAAAAGTCCAGCAAAGTCCACACAGTCACAAAGTTTTTTACTCCTTCCACCAAAACACCACCAAAAAAAGGTAAATACTATTAAACATAATCAACTGCAGGAGCTGCTAATGATAATATTTATCATAGCTTTATTTTTAGGGTTGAGTGTTCGTGACCTTTGTGTCCTTTCCTAGTTTTGTTTTGAGTCAACTTGTTTTCGTTAAAACCTTTTCTGTGCATTTTTTGAGCAGTTTCCTGTTTCCTGTTTTACTGGAAAAACAACACAAGTCACAGAAATGTTTGCTCAATAATATTTTCTTCTTTTTTTTTTTAGTTCAACCACTTCCCTAGATGATAACCCACAGTGCGGTTAAAAAAGATCATTAGACTGCAACACATAGCACAGATACTGCATCTGTCTTTATAGCATTTATATAAAGCAGTGGTTCTCAAACTGTGGGGTATAGTGTGGATGACCAAAGAGCGGAACAAAGTTGAATGAATATGATTTATATAGAGTTTGCTGATGATATTGTGCTGATGTTTATTTCAGTAAAATTCAACTTGGATCCTTTTTTCAATAGGTTTTGGTTCCCCTATCATTGTTGCTAGAAACTGTGGGTTGTGTGACTTGAACTTTTTTCTGCTTCTGAAGGGGGTGCATGCCAGAAACAGTTTGAGTACCACTGAATTAAAGTAACATTCAATGTCTTTCCCCAGATGCTTCTCCTTTTGAAGCGCAGTCCAGCCCAAGCCCCAGCTCCTCTTCAAGCCGTCATTCTTCTGTGGACAGTGACCATGCAACGAGAGAATTCATTGATTTTCTCAAACCTCTGAAGTCTGGCAGGGAGATTTTCAAACAGTGCCGGGCCTTCACTGAGAGCATGGTCTATAAGCGAGTGAGTTTTGTGGGGCTTATTCATCATGTTTTTTGTGTGAAATGAGCCTTATAATTGTCTTTTTATTGCCGTTTTTATCTACAGACGCCACAGGTTGCCTTCCATGGAGTCTTCTCCATTTCCAACGTCACAATCACTGAATTAAATGAGCTGAAATTGCTTAAACTCAAATGCTAAAAACATGGTGCATATAGTTTTTGCATATCATTGTCGCATACCGTAAACATTTGTTGGGCAGCTAGCAAAACCCTGAATACTTCCCTGTGCGATGCTGACTGTCACACATCGTTGCCTCACGTGAAAACAAGTTTTTGTAAATATCTAATGAAGAATTATGCGCCTTCAATCATTGCTGAAGTTTTTATAAATTCAGTTAGTTAGATATTAAGTATTTGTCCATTTAAAATTGTTTTTAAATTGATATAAGTAAAACCAAAAGTATGCATAATATATCACTTTGTCATATTTGGGCTTGATTTTGATATTTGTCCTTGTACGTTAGTGTATTTCATGCTGAAATTCAATTAACTCCACTCTGAACTGTTAATTTCCATTCCTTTTCCAGGACATGGGCGCTGATGAGCTCTCAGAGTGTGTGCAGGACTTCTACCAGAACCTCTCTGACCGCCTCCAGACCCAGTTCAAAGGTAAACTCATCTGCTAATAACAGCGAATATCACTAACATTGTACAGTGAATAATGTCTGCTCTCTATCTTGGTGCTTCCGCGGTCCAAGGTTCATCAGATCATGTTGAGAGCGTTATGGATGAAGTAGAGAAGTACATGATGACTCGTCTCTACAAGGAAGTCTTCTGTCCTGAGACCACAGACGATGAGAAGAAAGACCTGGTCATTCAGAAGAGAATCAGGTGAGCAAACAAAAGTTGTAATCATGCTTGAATTTGCTATTCTAGTAGTGATTAATCTCACTGCAACACAATTGGAGGTAACATGAATACATCTGAGAGTTACTTAAAGTGTTATTGGGTGCTGTTACAGAGCCTTGCATTGGGTCACCATTGAGATGTTGTGTGTTCCTGTGAATGAGGAGATCCCTGAGGTGTCTGACAGTGTAGTCAAAGCCATCACAGGTAAGTCTCATTAGGTGTCATTTTCAGAAGGACATCACCTAATTATCTTGGTGATCCAGTAAGATTTTCAGACAAACAATTTGTTGTGTTCTCAAATCTCAGATGTGATTGAAATGGATTCGAAGCGCGTGCCCAAGGACAAGCTGGCGTGCATCACCCGTTGCAGCAAGCACATCTTCAACGCCATTAAAATCAGCAAGAAAGAGGCTGCCTCTGCGGATGACTTTCTCCCGACGCTCATCTTCATTGTGCTGAAAGCAAACCCTCCACGACTGCAGTCCAACATCCAGTATATCACCCGCTTCAGCAACCCCAGCAGACTCATGACCGGAGAGGATGGTTACTACTTTACTAACCTGGTGAGAATATTCAGTACATGCTTGAATTTGTCTGAGTCTGAGTAAAAGTGATTATCCAGCTCATCTAAAAATCCATCTTGTATATAAATTTATGTTAGAGTCAGCTGAGTTCCAAGTCTCAATAGACAATGATACACAAGACATCTTGACCATTTGTGTAACAGCTTCACTGTACTGTTAACTCATATGCAAAATGGGAAAATGGAGATTGGAAAATATATACGTTCGTCAACACTTTGTCACAAATTACCTCCTGTAATTCACTGTATGTCAATGTTAAAGTCTTAGAACCTCTGAAACACTTATGGCTTTAAATACAGTTACATACACTTTTTCTCAGGAAGCAGTTTTTGGGCCTTTAATTATAGAGACAATTAAACACAATACAGAAACAATAGTTACAGTTCTGGATCAGTGCCTTAATCCACGTGCCCCACTAGTGTTTTACATTTAAATTTATTTTTAAAAGTTAAAAAAATATGCAATATGTTCTTATTGTTTTTTCTATCAAAAACTAGCTTTATTTTCATATTTTTGTTACTGTAAATGGGTCATGTTCACCACTCCAATTGGCATTAAATATCTAAAAATTTTAATATCTGTCTCAATTCTCAACTGTCCCGATAAATGAAAAATGCAGAGAAAAAAAAGACTGATGATGCCAATAGGCGAGACTTTCTTTTAATGACCCTCCACCTCCTCTCTCCCCAGTGCTGTGCAGTGGCCTTCATCGAGAAGCTGGACGGCCAGTCTCTGAACCTAAGCTCGGAGGAGTTTGAGCTCTACATGTCAGGGCAGGCATCCCCGCACTGGCCACAGGCCACTGGAGCTTCCTCCTGCTCCCCAGGCAGCGCAGCTCTCACTCAGGTCCACAAACGGCTGGACATGCTAACAGGGCTCGGAGAAAGGCAGGAGCGGGTCATGGAGAAGGCTCGCCAGCTGGAGAGCGACCTCATCGACTGGACGGACGAAGTGGAGCAGAAGGTACAGAGCGTTCTGGAGAGCTTTCCACCAGAGACGCAAAACCCTACTGCCACCACAGATAGTGGGACAACATCTGCAGCATCGTCAGCAATCGACGCTGATAACGTTGAGAATGAGCTCCTGCCGCCACCGCTGCAACCCCAAGTGTTTGCTGGTTGACATGAAGAGCTGCTCTCTAAGAAAAAAAAATCCTCTAGAGGCTTTACTCCATCCTCCTTCTTTACCGTGCTGTTTAACTTTGCTGTCCGTATGCACATACAGCAGCAGCATCCGATATGGAGCCCATTTCCAACCCGGCCGTCTCTGTTCCATCCATCCATTGTGTAGAGGCCCCGGAGCTACACAGAACAGGAACAGAACTATTGAGTTAAAAGATTGGCATTTTTGGAAGCACACTTTGGCTTTCTTGCGGTGTTAGATAAGAAGATCAATAACAACTCTCATGTCTGTAAAGTAAATGTGAACCTTTAGCCGTTAGCTTAGCATAAAGGCAAAAAATGGTTTGTACAAAAAGTGTAAAAACAACAGGTTACATCTCGCAGACATGTGAGTGGTTTCGATCTTCTCGTCTAACTTTCAGCAAAAAAGTGAATAAATGTTTCCCAAAAAGTCCCACAGACAGCCACCGAGGGCAAGTACACTCCAAGCATGAAAAGTAAAGGATCCAGTGCAGCATCTGCAGCATACTCTTACTGCTGCTTCCTCCAAAGTGAGATGTGCAGGGAAACCTTCCACAGAGTGGCGTCCAGGAGGCATCCTGATGAGATACCCAGACCACCTCAATGTGCTCCTTTTCAATGCAAAGGAGCTGGCTGTCTCCACTCCAAGTTCTTCCTGAACACATCTGTTGGTCACCCGCAATGGCATCTTCAGTACCTCAGTACTTCTTCATCCTTATCGTTGTTCTTCAGACGTGATAAATGGCTGGATGTGATTTGTAAACATGTTTGTGTCATTATTCACAGGTTTTTGTTACTATGTTGTGATGTCTCCAGGTGTAAATTAACAAGTGGAGGATCAACTTGACACGCAGAACCATACTGCCCAAGTAACCTCTAATAACACGAGTAACAGGAATTTTGAAAAAGGAAATTGAGAAATCGGAATGATGCAGAACTTAACTTCCCATACTAAAATAACCCTCCAGCTCATGCTTGTGATTTGTGCTGAATCCACTGGGTGTTTCCCTGTCCTGCAGAGAAATATCCAGAAAGAGATATGTGTGTGTGCGTGTGTAGCGGTTGTGCATGCGGGCAAGTGTGTGTGTGTGAGAATGTGAGGGTGCTGCATGGACATGTTCCGTTAGTGTTGATGAATCATAAAGCTGCGTGTGTATGGATATTGTAGTCTTGTTTTCATGCCAGACGTCTCACTCCAGTCATAAGCTGGATGTACAGAAGTGATTTTATTTTTCTATAGAGTGGCAGATATCAATTCTTTTGGATGCAATAGGAAATATTAATCCTGTAATATTTACAGTAGTAAAGAACATTGCTTGAAGACATGTTACATGAATTCTAATGATTGAATAGTCAAATTTTCATCTTTGTTTATCTTCTCAAAAAGGTGTCCTAAGCATGTCCCATCAAAAAAATAAAATAAATAAATAAAAAATCTGTTCAGATGATTTAGAGGATTTAAAAAAAACAACAAAATTTTTTGATTAAGTAGGTAAGAAGCCAGCGACACTGTTTCCCAAGACAGAAATTACTCTGGGTTGCTTTGCTAGCGCAAAATAATCAACATAACATGACCAATGTCATTTATTTTGAAGCACTTTTCTTTTGTTTAATTTTAAAGCTTTTAATTTATAAGTACATTTAATGAAGGAAATTAATGGTTATATTCATTTGAAGGGATAATCGGTTGGTATTGTGGGCTGTTGCAACACAGACGTACGTCAACTGTGTCTTTGGCAGTCTTGTAGTGTAAGAAATGTTTGGGAAAGTTATGTTTGTTTTTCTAACCTAGATTTGAATCTTTTTGTTCTTATTTGCAACAGTATAGTCCGTGTGAAGTTGCTGTCCAGTTTTAGTTTGAGGAGACTTTTAATGCAAACCTTAACAATAGCTTGAATAACTTCATATTGCACTGTATGCAGAAGCCATTTATCAGGTATTTTAAAGAAGTTTAAAACATCATCTTTGTAACCTTATAGGTTTGTTATTGTATCACTTGGGAGAAAGTAACTCAATACTGTCTTTTATTTAAATGTAACTTATTGGGGCAGTATTGGTTTATTTGCATCTATGGGTGTGTGATGCAGATTAATAAAAATTAAAAATGCATGTGCACTCGTGTGCAGTTTCTGTCTGTGTTTTTTTCCACATGATTTCACAAGCTAGGATTAAATAAATGACGCCCTTAGGATTCTGTATAGCAGTGGGGAAGTGAAAGGGATGGACATAAAAGTTCCTAGTTATGTGTTTTCAGCAGAAATTCATATGAAACAGTAAGTTTCTTTCTATTTCAACACTGTCCAATGTCTTTACTTTTTAAATATAAAAACACAGTACAAAATTATCTCCATCACTATATTGAAATTGCTTTAGAAAGAGAGCCAGCTGGTATGAACATGCCGAAACATTACAGCAATCTTTTACTCTTTCAGTGTACATATATGCATGTAAGTTGTTTTTTTAAGATGTAGTTTTAACAAGCAAGTGACTTAAACTTATTCTTTAAGAGTAATGTTAAAAATAGAGCAGACACAAAAAAAACACCAAACTAGTAGGATTTCCATATATGATTAAGTCAAATGCTAAAAAATACCTCTACCACATTAAATGGTTTAAAATTAAAATTATATATGCATTTATTTAGTCCTTTTTCCCCACTTTATATTGTGATTGGTTTAATTATACTTCCCCTATTTATTTCCACTGAAACTCAGAATTCTGCTGAAGCATATTATGTTGCTTTCACTTCTCTTTGTTTTTAACTGGTTGTACAATTTCCAGGATTGAGACATCTGATCAAGGAAAATAAGTGCAAATGAATGGATCAATACTTCTATATAACATTAAAAGAACATATTTTCTATTCACTTTGCTAACAAACGACAAAGGTTCCTTATACTGTAAATCTCACATTCTGTTTTTTTTATGATATACAAACAGGAACAAGACCAACTGCAGGCCGATCAGTATCAAAGGGGAATGCTGTGTCATCCATTAAAGAAACATATGGGGTCATAGTGTAGTATCGGAAACTTAAACACACACTCCATTACATTCCTGTATTGTACAGCATTGCTAACACTTAAGCACTTACAGTAAACATATATTGCAATCCGTGCAACCCCATAGAAATCTCTAAATGTATTAGTACATTATGTAGTTTCCTAACTGTGATCCACCTGACTCTTCAATACAATTCTACTGTTCTCGCTTAAAAAAAAAAAAAATGAAAAATGAAAAAAATGAAATTAAGTGAAAATGTTATTTTTTGAAAAAGGGGATATCCTGTGGGATGTGTTCAAGCTGAAACAAAAGTAACCTTTTTCACTTCCCTCCTCATTTGAAATAAAATAATCTCCCTCAGTCTCAGTTCACAAACAGAGCAAGCAAAATGGACCGAGTCATTTGCCTCCTTGGTGAGTTTTCTTCAGTTAATTCATAATATCTCATAAATTTAACCTTGTTTAAAATATTGTTATCGACTTTCATTTGTCTTATGCTTTTTTGTATTTTCCTTTTTCAGTTCTTTCAACAGTACCACAGCTTGTAATTGCTGGTATGTACCAAACATATAACACTTTTGCACGTAATGTTTATGTGTTGTAAATTCAAATCTAGTTTTATATTATTTATGCAAAGTGTCATCTGCAATAATACTCAAACAAACTGTGTGATGAAAACAGATTTTATTTTTTAAAAAGTCACAAAAAAGTTAACAAATCTTACATAGACATTATTTTGTTATTGCTGTTTTGGAACCTATTTGGTTATTTTTATTAGGTTTTTCGTTCTGTTTGTGACCATTTTGTTTTTGTTTCCATTGTAGAATAATTTCCTGAGCTTTATATTTAGCTTGTTTTGCATTTTATTCATAATTTCTCTTAATACTGTGTTCATACTGTGTTAATACCGTGGAAGCTAATGGGGATCCAAATTTAAAAAGCAAGAATATATATGAATTGACCATTAACATTTATGTCACTTTTACAGTGAAAGTATACAGATATGATATTCCTCCCTATTTACTTATTATATATTATACACATATTTTGTCTCCATAGTTCCTCCTGTGGCCTCATTGATACCTACAGTGGAGCTAGTGTCAGGGCATTCAAGGGTCTTCTCTGGGGAAAATGTCCGGCTAACCTGCCACATTCTAGATATCCACAAGTCCAACTGGGATTACTTGTGGTTCAAGGAATCTGAGCAGCTCACACAGCATGGGAAGCACCTCACTCTGTGGAAAACCAAAGTTAAAGACACAGGGAAATATTACTGCCAGGGAACAAGGGACACAGCGGTGGGAAACATACAAACCCTCAAAAGCCAGCCTTTGGAGATCAGCGTGGATGGTAAGATCTTGTTTATCAGTAGAAAATCTTCTTGATTTGCATGTTAGGATGTCAGTACGATAAGCAAGAAGACAGGGATTCTTGCTTTTCCTATTTGTAATACTCCTGTTAACAGAGAAAATTGGGAAATCACTGAACTCTTGCTGCCCTGCATTGTATGGTGCTTCCTGTGCACTTTGTTTTAAATAAAGTGACAAATTTGCATGTTTTGGTCCCACAAAACATCTCAAACATGCATGTTTTATTACTGTGTCCATATAAGACAATAATATATTTTTTCGTGGTTTCTTTCTAATCTGCAATCTCTTTGTTCAGGTGGGTTGGCTATCCTGCAAGTCCCACCTCATCACAGTCTTGTTGGAGACACCTTGAATGTGACGTGTCGTGTCCGAGGCACACCCCAACTTCATGAGGTGATTCTGTACAGAGATGGCGTTGAAGTTTTGAGGCAACAGGGCCTCAGCCCACACTTACACCTGACCGACTTGAGCCTTGAGGACAATGGAGTGTATTCTTGTAGGGCTTCCTGGGATATAGAGAGACAGACAGTATCTGTAATTTCAGTTGGTGTTCCAGTGCAGGTCTTAGGTGAGTCTATATACTGGGTTACATGTGCTGAGTTTGGTTGTGGTTGCAGGTCACATGTTAAAGGAATAGTTAGACACTTTGGGAATTGCACTTATTCAAGTTAGATGAGAAGACTGATACCACTGTTATATTACTCCATTCGACATGTAGCTACAGCAAGCTGAAAGGACCAGTGTGTAGGATTTAGTGTTTTAGAGGTTCCTGGCAGGGAATCACTTTTGGGGGTCATTGTGTCTGGCCAAGAAATAGTCAGACATACTGCATAACCACCTGTAAAACCACAAATTGCAGTGTTTACACTGAATGACAGATATAAAGCTATTAGCTTAGCACAAACATGGGGGACAACAGTTTGCCTGACTCTGTCCAAAGTAATAAAATCCACTTACTTTAAATAATAATGTGTTAATTAGTAAGCTGTTTCCCTGTTTCCAGTCTTTATGCTAAGCTAAGCTAACCTGCTGCTGGCTGTAGCTATGTTTTTGTGTACAAATATGAGAGTGGTATCAACCTTCTCATGTAACTCTTGGCAAGAAAGTAAATAAGCTTTCCCAAAATGTCGAACTGTTCCTATATTCCCAATGAAATGGCAATTACAACAGGGAAGAAATTATTCTTTAGAAGTGATTTTAAACTGTTACTGTCTGTCAGTAATGTTTTCTCTTCTGCTGCTCTATTTCAGAGGTTCTGTCGGAGCCAGTTTTGGAGATTGTTCAAAGGGGTGACTGGATTACTCCAAATATGATAAAGCTCATCTGTCACCACCAATACAATGCCCCTGCTCCTGTCCCTCCAGTATCCTACTTTTTCTACAAAGATAACAATCGACTGGGAATAGCAACCTCTGTGAACTATGACCTGGTCAAACAGACTCCAGGCGAGTACAGCTGCAAGGTGAAGGTGTCTAAGTTGAACATCTCCAGGTGGAGTCAGCCCAAACGCTTTGGAAGAGTGCAAGGTACTTAGAAGTAAATGTAACCTGCTGTATGTCCTCAACTAAAAGTTTAAGCATTTGTAAAACAAAAACGGTCAACCTGTTTGTGACCCAATAGGACCACAGGGGAAGATGCCTCACAGAGAGCTATTGTCCATTGCTCCCACTGTGCCGCCTCAAGCAGCCCAGCCCTCCTCTCACCGGTCCACTGCAATTCCAACTCCTGATGAAGGCCTAACCCAATCCTCAGGTCCTCTGCTGAAGCCTTCACAGTCCATGCCAAGCTCTCTGCAATCTACAGCCCAGTCTCTCTACCAAACTCCTCTGGCAGAAACTGACGATTTATCCATGGAATCTGTTAATATGTCTGGTATGGGGCCACTAGTTTAACTATTTACAAATCTTAGTGGCGAGAATAGTGTTTCAGTCTGTGTGTGCGTAATCAGATTTGTAAAGGCAGAGAGCAGCTGGAGGAGCCTTTTTTTGCTGCTCAAACCACACACATTCATACAGTGATGACAACGGCCATCACAATTAGAAAGTAACTCATTCATACACATGCACAGGGAACAATTTGAGGTTCATTATTTTGCTCAAGGACACTTCAACATGCAGCGGGAGGAGTCGGGGATTGAACCACAAACCTTGACTACTCTACCTCCTGAGCCACATTTACAAATGTAACTATGCTCTATCTAATCAGATTGAGATACACTTTCACAACTCTGTAAATAGTTTTGCTAAAATTCCCACCTTTTCCAATACTTGGTAATCTGAACTTCATCTTCTCATCTGTACAAAACTAACACTGTTGGTGATAATAACTAATGCCATATTGGTTAAAGCAAATAAAGCATTCCTTAAATGATATATACTACTGGATTTTATTTTCAATGAACACTCTTTTTACAACCCTATTGTACAGCAATACTGCTTACATATTAGAAGTATTGGTATAATAACATGGGCAGTGGATTTACAGTAAGAATAGTAATATAGTTACAGGTCACAGTGATATTCTCTGTATACTTAACACATACATCATATATTTTTGTGTTTTTTGCAATGAGAAGATTAGATCAGGCCATCAGTAATAGTGTAGATGGACAGGAAGCAGAGGTCAGGGTGCAACAAAGGCAACAGTGAACAAAGAGGAGGAAGACTGGAAGAACAAAGCATTTTACTGAGGGCAACACTGCAGGTAGAACATCAATAAATACTTCAGGTAAAGTATATTGTTCAGGAACACTGTGGGGCTTGGAGAGAGTGGGAAACACAATCTAAATAAAACTAACAAAAACTCTTACACACTGTCTCACTTTGCTTGCTGGTGTATTTATCAACAGCGTTTTGGTGTATAGTGTATAAACAAGTTTAAGGACAAGCATCACGACAGTTTCATATATGTACAATGTACAATTTTCATCATGAATTAATATCTTATAATTGTATCGTAAACAGAGCACTTAGTTTTGATGTTTTTGGTTGTTATGGATGTTGTTATAGTGCTCTAAGTATGATGACATTGTAAGATTTCCATTTATGATTAATATTGGCACTTTCCTTTAGATATTTTTAATCTTTTCATAGTGTGATTTTTTCAGATGCCCTCTTCACTTTACTTCATGTGGACTGGATAATTTATCTTGCATGTATTTATAGAGCAAAAAAACAGTTGTGATGCGTTTTCATATGCCCAACGAAGGTTGTGTGGATTAAATATGTAAATTAGCAGTAAGTAAAACAGTGTGTGCACATTTATTTTCATTTTTATTCACAAGGCAACAAGTAAAATAAGGAGATACTAGTACAGTGATAAAACAATAAACATGATTTTAGTGTTGCCGGTACTTTAAAGATCCAGTGTGTAACATTTAGGAAGCTTTATTGGCAGAAATTTAATATAATATTTATGGGTATTAGAATGAGACTTTTTTTATCTACAGACACTATGGGTCTATCTATCTATGGGTCGCCTTCCGTGGCCATCACAATGTTGAACCACCATTCTTCTACAGTAGCCCAGAATGGACAAACCAAACACAGGCTCTTAATAAGGCCATTCCCTTTCGCAGCCCCCGTAGATTCACCTTCTTGGTTGGAAAGGGAGGGGGAAGCAAGTGAGTTGCAATCTGCAACTACACCCCTAGATGTCGCTAAATCCTACACATTGGACCTTTACATTTTCAGACTAGTGAGCAATACAGCTTTTGAGCTGTTCTTAAGTGAGGAATATAGTGTAGTAGCAACACCAGTATATGGCCTTTTCACAGATATAGTCAAGTTGGAACAGTCCAGTAGAAGAATATATTTTCAGTAAACTATCAAGCGTTGTCTGAGTAAAGCAGGAATCCAGAGAAGATGCTGTCATCCTCACTGCTGGCATACGCCCCATTCCAGTCTCTGAATGTCTCCATCCACACCTGATCACCCACTGCCAGTCGCAGCACCACCAGAGTGGATGCCTGATCGATGTCTTGACCGTACAGAGAGTCCCGTGTCCTTACCCGTCGTGACCCGTTCACCACCAGTGTGGCTCGCAGAGGCTGATTGCGTACGGTGATGTGGAAGGAGAAGACGTAAACCCCAGCGTGGACGCATGTGAAGCTGTTGGAAGTGACATTGAAGTGGTTCTCTTCGTTGTAGAAGACTTTGTCAAAGCGGATCGGGAAGCCAGAAGGAGGGAAGGACTTTCTCGGAGAGATACCTACACTGAAGGCTGAGCGTTTCTGGGGAACCCCTGATCCTTTAGCTCCTTTGAATCCACGAAAGCCCCGCTCACCTCTCATCCCAGGGTAACCCCGGTCCCCTTTTGGCCCCATCACCCCTCTTATGCCCTGTGGTCCCTGAGATCCTCTAACCCCTGGTTCTCCTTGTTGTCCAGTAGGGCCCGGATCACCTCGGACGCCTATAGGACCTGGGGCACCATGCTTTCCATTTATTCCTGGAATGCCCATTGCTCCTGGGATGCCAGGAGGCCCAGAATCCCCTCGCTCACCTTTTTGTCCTCTCTCTCCAAATGTGCCACACTCCCCCTTATCCCCCTTATCCCCCTTAGGACCTAATTCAACAGCCAATCCTGGAGGTCCAGCTGGCCCTTCTTTTCCCGGTTCTCCTTTCTCACCAGCAGTTCCATTCTGGCCAGGTTCCCCTTTCTCCCCAATACCACCTTTGACACCTTGCAAACCTATTTCACCTTTCTCACCTTTTGAGCCCACTTCACCTGCAAGGTTAGGGAAATGGTGTCAGAACCACTGAAGTCTGACAACAACATAAAAGAATCCAACCATCACCTGAATTAGTTTGTACCTTTTTGTCCTGGTTTCCCTGGGACTCCTGGTGACCCAGCTATCCCACTGCCACCTCTGTCACCTTTCTCCCCTAAGACATAATAAAGCTAATATTCAGCTAACAATAATAAAGCTAATATTCTTTACAATATCCAACATAAGCAATATGTTTATTTATTTTTTTAAACTAGTGCTAGTGAAGAAGAGTGGTATATTTAATGGGAATACATGGCATATGATAGAGTTGTTTAGTTAACACATTAACACACGTTTAAAGGGAACAGACACTGAATCCCAATCGTCACTGACCAAATCAGTAGTTTTTAGCTGTGGAGCTCCTCTCACTGGTGACTGAGAGCACTACTGTCAGCTCATTAAAAGCACAGGAATGCCACAGAAACAATCTGAAGTGCCTTTGAACGGCTATGAATCCACTTACTGATGTACTGAACGTTTCTAAGTTTATTGGGCTCCATGTCCATTGTCTCATGATACACCTTTGTAATATATTATATGTACATTCTGCAAATTCATATTTCATAATAAAATATTTTGTAATAAGAAATTTTACATATGCATTTAATCACATTATATTTACCTTTATCTCCTTTCAACCCCATAGGACCACTCACTCCAGGTTGTCCAGGTAAACCAGCTGGCCCTGTAAAGCCTCTTTCACCTGGTGGCCCTAGATAAGCAACAAGAGGTTAAGTTCAAAATGCTGAGACAAACAAATTAAATTAATTAATTAAATCAAAAGTATTTTTTTCATTGCACTTTATCATTGAGTCTAATACCTGCCAGGCCTCTGTCTCCCTTTGGCCCCCTGGGGCCTCTCTCAGGTGGACAGCACTCACAGAAGTTAAAGTAACACTCATTATAATCTAGGGTGTAGTTCTCTGGGCCAACACCGGGGGCCTCAGGGCTCTCTGTGTAGTACTGTGGAAAGATGTGGCTCGGATAGGTGGTCCTCTCTGTGGTGGGCATTGGATGGGGCACCACAGGTTTTGCACTCGGCACTATCTTGTGAGTCTTGGGCATGCTGGTGGTCACAGGGTTGTGAACGGTGATCTGAGGGACGGGCTTCTTGGTGTACTGGTACTTTGGCTTCTGTGTAGTTTTAGCTTCAGCGAAGGACACCACAGTGAGTGTAACTACAACTACAGCCAGAAGGGTCGACTGACTGATAATCCTCATGGTTGACTGGGATCTGAGAACAGATGAGTTTATACATGACACTTTTATTCTGTTTGTCTGCACTAATTTCCTTTTCCATGTACTTTAAAGGATAAAAGTTTACTGTTGCAAATCACTCAGTAGCAACCAGTGATGCTCTCTTTTCTCATCTTCTGTCAATCTCAATATTGATTTTACCATTCTTTCTCTGTTTCTCTATTTCCACTTGTATATTTCCCACATTGCCAATTTCAGGTTGGAGCTACGTTGTTCTTTAGTCATGTGCTACTGTGACTCAATAAGTCTGCAGTTTGACCATCTGAAGCTGATTTTATTGTTGTTTATCTGTAAATGCAGCTGCTACACTGTTTAACTGCAATGAAAACATGCATCTTCTTGAGTAATAGTGGCACATTGTTGATGTCCAGCAAAGTCCTCAACTTAGATATGTCTTTAAACATAAACTAATAATTTTAATAAGTTACTCATCATGCTGACATTCAACTGTCTGTGCAAAATGTATAATTTAACAAAATTGATAAGACTCACCCAGTTATGCATAAGTGGTATGGTCATTTATCCTCTCTAGCGGTCGCTTGGCAGCACCAGGAGCTCCAGGTCTCTCTGATATCTCTGCCAGGCTTGGGCGAAAGAACATCCCCACCAATGAGGGTGTTTGCTGGAAGCACAGGGGGAGGTCTGAAATCCAACTACGGCGGGCTGGAGCCGACCCAAGGAGAACCACTGTGCTGTGGACCATTCTCTGTACCTCTGTTGTGTAGAAAGGTGCTTTTGTGACACGGGATACAGCGCCCACCAGGAGCACTCCCTCACTGCGAGCTAGGCGAGGAGCAAAGGCCGTGGGGCAATGGGTCACCCGATACGGGAGGCATTCCTCCAACACCCAACCTACTACCCAGGCTCTTACCCTGGACAAAGCCAAGCAAAGAGGGTTCTATGACAGAGGCCAGGGCACTACAACAGCCTTTTTTCAAGCGTAGGATTGGACAGTATTCTGCATGTAGCAAGCAAGAAGGTGCAAACTGTTTTCACAGACCTTTTACGTGTGTAGTGCCACTCTTGCCAGTTAATGGTCTGAAAGTACATAGAAGACAATATCTGCAGCACTTTAGTCAAAATGATCTGGAAACAGGTATGCCCAGATAGCTCACCTGGTAGCGCGGCTGAGTGGCCCAAGGCTGAGTGGCCCAAGGTTCGAATCTGACCTGCTATGTGCCATCCTCTCTCTCTCCCTCCCTTTTCTGTCACTCTTCAGCTGCATTCTCCATTAAAAAGCCAATAAAAGTCCCTCCAAAAAACAAAAACAAATGATCTGGAAATTGGTTCACAGCACAGGGAGCTCAGGATTTACAATCTACTGGTACTTGGTAAACATCCAAAAGAAAGCTTGAGCCTAAAGAGCACTGATAATCTCCTCACTCAACAGTTGCTAAACCTGAGCTGTTTGTCAAAGGAAACAGTTAATCTCCCTCAAATCAGTGCAGTTGCAATGCTTGCCTGATCACTGTGACCGACTTTCTGCACACGAGCCCCTGACACTGCTAGCAGCTACATTTGCTAACTATGATTCATACTGTGTGGCTGGACAATGATTCATTCTTATGGTGTAACAAGATAGCATCTGGTTTTTGTAGAGAAGTGATTTTCTGGTAGCTGTCTAGTCGAAACTCTCGACAATGAATGCTTGAGCAATGGACATGCCTCAGTTGTCAAAGACCTCACGTCCTCAGAGGGATCTATGACCAGCTATGAGTGAGCAGGAAGAAGGGAAATGAAATTTGGGAAACATAGATGGTGGGATGAGGAGAGAGCTACTAAATAGGAGAAGATTGTGTTTATTTAAACCATTTTTACCCTAAAACGTACACTGTTCTTAATCAACTCACCTCCATTTACATGCTCTTCTTCCCAGCAGCTCAGGTGAAGTGTCCCTGACTTGCCCCTTCATTAAAGAGAAACAGATGGAGTGTAAGATATGCACCTGAGCCTTGAGAGAGAGAGAGGGGTTCCTCTGGGGTTCTCCATGCCCGACCTCAACCCCATCGTCTCTCAGCTCCATTCAGACCACACACAACAGCAGCGGTCAACTTACAGTGCCCAGCTGGCCACAGAGGACCCAGGCGCCGCTCACCTGTCCGTTCATTTAACACTGGCACCGGCCCTGCCCTCAGCCTCCATCCTCACAGACTATAGAGCGAGGAGGGATAAGGAAGAGTTAACTTACTCAAGAGGTGCAGCCGAGCAGAGAGAGGACCAAAGATGACTTGGATGGATGGAGGTGTATTGCCTTACATTAACCCTATTCATGTAAAGGGGAGCTTGAATCTGCAGTGAATGTGTACAGAGTGAGTTAGAGAGGGTGAGAATGAGACAATAACATAGACTTGTTTAGTAACCAACACAGCGACCAGTCACTCTCTGTATGATTACTCCCCTGCTGTACCAGTACTAATTAGGACATAGACAGATTTTGTTCTTTACTGTGGGATCTTATCAAAGAAAATCTAGATCCTGCAGAATTAGCAGATAATGACTTTGGCAAGAGATCTGCTGGCAGTGAAGACACATCTCATGTAGTCAGACAGAGTACAAAAACACTCTCTCCTGCCACACCTTCTCTGACAAGCCTCTCTGATGTTAGGGATTGGTTTCTAATGCATTTGTAATTCTTTGTTGATTGAATTCTACCTTAGGTTACTTGGACATGCTAGATGCTTGCGGTGAGTTAGAAGAGAAGATTAATACCACTCTCTTATCTGTCCATTAAATATAAGGCTACGACAAGCAGTTGTACTGGAAAAAACTTGTCTGCCTTTACACAAACCTACCAAACCTTGCAGCATTTCACACCAAACTGGGGTGTTTGATGTCAAATGCTGTCAAAATGTATATATTAAATAAGATAAAAGAACCTGTTATAAAACAGAAATTAACTCTTTAAAGAGCAATGTGACAAAAGTTTAAAATGTTGTTTTGCTTACGTCCAGTAGTGATTTGTGTTCAAGTTCAAGTGTTCTGGTGTGTCAGTAGTGAGATCACTGTTTTTAGGTGTGGCTATACCCAACAGATTTGAAAAGGGCTGTAAATCACAGCTTTTCAGCCTGATCTTACATTAGTCTTTAAATACAATGCAGGAATTAAGTCACTGCAAGCAGACACCACAGTATGGCTTATTTCCTTTGGTAGTAAACTTAATGCACAGGACTGCTGGTCTGTCGGTTCAGTTTGGTGGTTGGACAGAAGAAAGAAACAAGCTCCTAGAGTGGTTTGAGGTCATGAGTTGTGTCTCAAGGGAACAGGAACAACTTACATAGGTCAATGCTAAATGTGAGGTTGGAGTTGTTCCCTCTCGCCTTCTTTTCTCCTCCTTCCTTGTCCGTCTGCAGCTGCATTGTATCTTTCCTACCTTATACCTAAAGGTCCCATACTTACCACACCAATTGTCCTTATATATAGTACCCCTAAATCACCAAACACACCTAAAAAGAAATATAAAATAAACAGAAATCTTGTTTTTAATTTCTGTACTGATTATTTGTACAATTTGCTTGCCAGTGATCAGGTGTAACTTACCTAACAGACTCCATGTACCTGTGAAGATCAGACAGGTTTGATATCAAGTGAAAAAGAAATTGCAAAACTCTCACTCCCTCCTTTGTGTGTTTCACACTAAAATGTATAGTACACTGCCAAATATTCCTTCCCAGCAGCTTGCACACATTTTCCTCTTTCCCACAAATATACAGCACCACACTCAACCACAATGTGAACCAGATTAATTAGTACTTGTGATGGTTTTACTTGTGAAAATAATTTAATTGTTGTCATCATATCTGTACTAAACTGAGCAAAAATTATTTCTTTCCTCGACCACCTGGTGGCAGGCTTGTGTTTTAGGTAAAATCCATACAGTTACAGTTACAGACCTTGGGTTGTTTAGTGTAATTGTCAAGAAACCTGATCAGACCCAGACAAAAATGCATTTAATGAATGTTCACAATATATATCAGCTCATATTATGTCTTACTTGAGCCCTTATAATTTACAACATGCAGGTGGTGATGATAAAGTATATTTAAGAGCACAACAAGCCAGTCTCTTTATTAAGCTGCTCTTCACCAACTTTTAGTATGAGCCAAATTTAGCACAACATGTTTTTGTTATTTTTGTAGTGAAAGTCCTTCGACCACGTCAGGGATTGGCTCCAGCTGTGCCTGGCCCAGGTTTTTATCAGGCCAACCACTCCTAGGCTCATATTGACTGATTCATAACTCAGATATATACGGCTGAGCTGGGAGCTGTGTCATCATGAGATGAATTCCCCCTCCATCTTTGATCAACAAAGAATGGCAATAATTGCACAATCCTTCTAAATGCCACAGAACAAACCTTGTCTGATTGCACAGAGATCAGGCTGGAAATAAATCTGGTGTTGACGTGGAGTACATATTAAACAACAAGCAAATTTATCCTCAGGCCACGATAATGTGATCCTGTACCTGATCTTTTTTGTGGTTGTGATTATATTCACAGGTCATGTTACTACTTTACTACTGCCATTGTGTTTAATCTAATCTATGCCTGTTATTTGCTCTGAAAGTGATTTGTCATCTTTGTTTTTCTCTGTATATGAAGAGTTTCAATTCAAAATATCAAATCCAGCTATGAGAGAAAGAAAATGAACAAAGTATAGAAGCTGTATTCCTGGATTTTACTGTGATTTTATTATAATTAATATAATTAATTTATATATCTATAAAAACGTCTGCTTAGTATGAATGTGACTTTTTATAAACCTCTTCCGTGTGTTTAACCAAGCCCCCACCCAAAACACAGACAGAGAGAGACACACAAACACACACACACACACACACACACACACACGCCCAGAGTGCAAACAATGTTCACTCAAAACAAGCCTGTTAAATGACATAATGATATATTGTAATAGCAGGGTAGTGTCTGTCCTGTTTTCTTTATGTTACAGATTAATACACAAG